AGAGAGGTGTCTGTATTAGAGAGGTGTCTGTATTAGAGAGGTGTCTGTATTAGAGAGGTGTCAGTATTAGAGAGGTGTCTGTATTAGAAAGGTGTCTGTATTAGAGAGGTGTCTGTATTAGAGAGGAGTCTGTATTAGAGAGGAGTCTGTATTAGAGAGGAGTCTGTATTAGAGAGGTGTCTGTATTAGAGAGGTGTCTGTATTAGAGAGGAGTCTGTATTAGAGAGGTGTCTGTATTAGAGAGGTGTCGGTATTAGAGAGGTGTCTGTATTAGAGAGGTGTCTGTATTAGAGAGGTGTCTGTATTAGAGAGGTGTCAGTATTAGAGAGGTGTCAGTATTAGAGAGGTGTCTGTATTAGAGAGGTGTCTGTATTAGAGAGGTGTCTGTATTAGAGAGGTGTCTGTATTAGAGAGGTGTCTGTATTAAAGAGGTGTCAGTATTAGAGAGGTGTCAGTATTAGAAAGGTGTCAGTATTAGAAAGGTGTCTGCATTAGAGAGGTGTCTGTATTAGAGAGGTGTCTGTATTAGAGAGGAGTCTGTATTAGAGAGGTGTCTGTATTAGAGAGGTGTCAGCATTAGAGAGGTGTCAGCATTAGAGAGGTGTCAGTATTAGAGAGGTGTCTGTATTAGAGAGGTGTCTGTATTAGAGAGGTGTCTGTATTAGAGAGGTGTTTGTATTAGAGAGGTATCTGTAGTATAGAGATGTCCGTATTAAAGAGCTGCCCCTATTAGAGAGGTGTCTGTGTTAGATAGGTGTCTGTGTTAGGGAGGTGTCTGTGTTAGAGAGGTGTCTGTATTAGAGAGGTGTCTGTATTAGAGAGGTGTTTGTATTAGAGAGGTGTCTGTATTAGAGAGGTGTTTGTATTAGAGAGGTGTCTGTATTAGAGAGGGGTCTGTATTAGAGAAGTGTCTGTATTAGAGAGGTGTCAGTATTAGAGAGGGGTCTGTATTAGAGAAGTGTCTGCATTAGAGAGGTGTCCATATTAAAGAAGTTATTTATTTGAAGGTTTATGATGTCATACTTACCCTAGGGCAACATCTTTCTCCTTCCTGGGGTCGTTTTGCGCAGTATTTGAAATAACGGTTGTTTCTGCAACATTCTGTGGACTGATCACATTCACTGTGAGATGAACATGTTGTGCCTGTGCGAACACATTGACCAAAGTAATGATAGACGTTGTTATTGCTGCAGAAAAAAAGATAATTTTGCTTTGTTAAACCTTGTAGTCCAGGCCTGCAAATAATTATCTTACTTGGAAGGACAATTTGACAATGGACAGAGTAAAATTTTTCACTGATTTTGTTTTGAAAATTAACATGTATTTTTTCCTGGTCATGTTAGTCCGCACTACAATGCATCTAAAACTTAGTGGAGAAGTTTAAAATGGCGGAGAAGTGCTGTCTATATTGCTTTCTTGTTGGTTTAGTTAATAAAAAGTGTGTTAAACAAACAATTTTTTTGAGATTGGAGATTTGACCAGCCTAAATCGGTCGGTCACATTTCCTGTCATGATCGGACAAAAGGTAAAATTTGGCCGGACAATGTCCGATGACCGGCACTAATTTGCAGGCCTGATTGTACAGAGGCTCTTTGGCAAACAGTTAAACAACATGTTAAATATTTATAAGCTTGGTTAACACTATCAAAGATTTTCTGATCACAATAGGAATTCCTCACAGGTAAATTCTAATTTTTGAAGGATTTATAAGAAATGTTTAAGGGGACTGACTTAGTGTTACAGTAAACACTGAGTCAGTTTCCTCAAACATTTCTTACAAATCCTTTAAAACTTAGAATATACCTTTGCAAAATTCCTACTGTGATCACAGAAACTTTGATAGTATAAACCATCCTTTATAACACTCAGTAAGTTCCCTCAAACATTTCTTACAAATCCTTTAAAACTTAGAATTTACCTTTGCAAAATTCCTACTGTGATCACAGAAACTTTGATAGTGTAAACCATCCTTTATAACACTCAGTAAGTTTCCTCAAACATTTCTTACAAATCCTTTAAAACTTAGAGTTTACCTTTGCAAAATTCCTACTGTGATCACAGAAACTTTGATAGTATAAACCATCCTTTATAACACTCAGTAAGTTTCCTCAAACATTTCTTACAAATCCTTCAAAACTTAGAATTTTCCTATGCAAAATTCCTACTGTGATCACAGAAACTTTGATAGTGTAAACCATCCTTTATAACACTCAGTAAGTTTCCTCAAACGTTCAGACGTACTGTAGAAAAAGTATGTAATGTTCATCCGATCCTAAATTTGCCTTTCTCAAATCTACAGCGCAATGATAACCTTCACCTTGTACTTAAGGTGTAACTTTGTTTACCTTTTGCAGACAGCACCATGAGGACATCGACGGTATCTGGAACATCTAGGCAGATTTGTACAGTATCTGTACCAGCCTTGCCCTCGGCAACAATATTGATGTTCAAAACACTCTTGGTGGCTTGTACAACGTTTCTAAAATGAAAACGATGAGGGGGAAAATATCGTTTTAGTCAGGTAGGGTAATTAATTCTTAATTTTAATTTCATAATCTTTACATCTTAAGACCCATTTCCACTCAAGAAAAATTTCCACGGATAAAACATTTTCGGAAAATATCATT